AGGAGCCAGGGCAGGCAGAGGCAGTAGCAGGTCCTTCTTCCCAGGGCTGCAGCCTCAGCCCCCCACTCCCGGCAAGGGCAGGGCCAGCTTGGCCACAGGGCCCTGGGCATACCGAAAAGAGGAGGGCCCCTGGCTCCCAGGGTCCTCAGGATCCTCCCCAGAGCAACAAGAGGCCAAGGCAGGGACCTGCCTGAGCCCTGCAGACCTGAGGGACCCTTGTCATCACTTCAGATGAAGTGGTGAAACCTGGGGCCAATGTCCATGGCACCTTCCAGAAGCTGCCTCAGTTTCCCAGGTCTGGCTTCCAGAAGGTGCCTGGTGAGGTCGCCACTGGGAGAGTGCCTCAGCACCAAGGATCTGAGAAAATGTATAAATGTCCAAGTCTCTCAGTAGCTGGGAGAGCTTGATATACTGAAACACAAGCCCATTTGAAAATTTAGTCCCAGATGCAACCTAGCTTGTTAAAAGGTAGTTTGGACCAAGAACCAAAAAGCTGTATGAAGAAAACAGGGTTTGGATACAGTTCTCAGTTCTTGCAACTGTAATTACTAATTAGAAATGCCACATACTGTGTGCTCGGACAGAATCCACTTCAAACGACATATTAATAATATTTAAATATATACAATTAGTAAATGTTCTAATTAATTAGTTAAATTAAATATTTACTTCTCAAACTAGCTGTAAGTTTCAGTATATATAATCTGTATACATAAATTATATCATTATAAATTTATAATTTTCATTATAAATTGAAATAATATTATAATTATTATAATAAAATTACTTTAACAAATATTTGTTTGGTTAATTAATTAAACATAATTAATTAATCTATTATAATATAGTATTTTTATATTAATATATAATAATATATTCCTGTATTAGTAACAAGTGACAATGTGCCCCATACCCACTCTAATACAGTGGTTGATCATTTTGTTACATTATACTAATTATTGATCAGCAAGGAGTCCACTGAGGTGGAAGAATGGGCAAGGATGAATAGTTTTTGAATGTTTTTTCCCTCCTCTCAGTGTTCATGCACATTTCCTCCCCTTCTCCTCCTCTGTGAACTGCACACCTATGGAAGATGTTTTTTTTATTTTGAAACAGGTGGGAGCTATGTTTCAAAGTGTGGCTTTTGATCATGATCTCTCTGGAGTCAGACTCCAGAGTCCCCTGGACACCTGATCCTAATTTTGAGGAATCCATCTACAGCATGGATCTATCCTGGAGCTGTTGTTCCCAGAAGTATGTAATAGCTTGGAGCGGTGTTTCAGAAGTCAAGCATCCCAGAGTCTCAGTTTAGCCATCTATCAGCCTCTGATGACCTAAAGTTCTCGAAGGGAACTGGCTCTGCTTTCCTGATTTTTTGCTGCACAATGGAGTTTTGGAAAATCTCGTGAACTTCAGTTCTTGCTGGAATTTCTTGTAAAGAAATATCAAGTTTCTCATGGGCTCACTCAACAAAGATGGAGCCATTCCAGACCTTCTCACAAGGAAACCAGCCATGAGAGTACTGCACATGTATGTGGAAAATCCATTTTCCTAAGTGATTACTTTCCTTGTCTAGTCTTACAGTAAAATTAGTCTGCTGAGAAACAATTGCTGTAACTGAATTGAAAGCCTGCTAGACAACACTCATTCTGAAATATAGATTTAATAAAGTCATATATGAAACCAAACATGAATACTGTCAGAGAGTCTTTATAATACTATTATATGTATTTTCTATTGGTAGGAGAAATTTCCGTGGTCTTTTTTCAATCCCCCAGTTACAAAGAAAGCAAAGTACAACTGAATGCTTTCAGGTCATGCAGAGAAACCCAGGGTGCCTGCTCTGCAGAAGACCAATAGAGACTTTCAGGTTTTCTCAGCAGGGTAAACAGGCCTATGTACAGTTTGCCATCAGCTTCCCTAGAGAGTTGCCAGAGACCACTCAGGCAGGGAGAACTCTTTCCTGCCTGGGTGAGAACTGCCCCTATCACCCTGTGGTGTCCCTTCCATCTTCTCCACAGGGGACAGAGTCCATGGGTGTCCCCCTGCCTGAGGTCTGGGCAGCACCTTTCCAACAACAGCAGCATCTCCTGGACCCTGTGCAGCCTTGACTGTGCCAGAGGCTGGAGGGAATGTACCGGGACCGATGGTGGCTGGTAGAGGCAGCAGAGAGCAGCATATGGCATGATCTCTGCATCTATGGTCTGGATGAGGACATCTTAGTCCTGAGACAGTAATAGCTTTGGCTACAGCCACTATTAAATCTTGAAAAAACTTTATGAAGTAAGACTCTTCATTTCCTATTAAATATAATAATGGCCAGTCTTCGCGAGCGAAGATTTGGGAAAGGTCATTAACCCTTCGAGCCTGCGCAGTGGATTTTTTTAGGTGAGACACAG